GTTGTAAAAGGTCATATCTGGGACTGTTTGACTTAGATAAACGTGTAAATCAATTATTCCATTCATTTACAATTTAGCATTTTATTGTTTTTTTTTCTAATCTATGACAGCTATGTTATGTCCATCATGAGTCGTAATTTCACACGATTTTTCACTCCTTCAATTTTCGTTTTTTTTTTTAGATCAACAAATTTCGGTATCGGACATTTGTTTGAGTAACTAACCAGAAAGCAAAGATAGAAAAACGTTGTGAGACACATCCAGGCTGATTCAGCAACACTTATAACTGCATACGGAAGGCTACAGTCATAGTAAAAACTTGGAGGACTGACTAAATTAAAAGTACAACAGTGACGTAGCATCGTTTTTGAAAGGGTGCATGAGCAAAGAAAAAATCACCCCCCCCCCCAAAAAAAAAAGAAAAACAATTTTTTATTTGAAAAACATGCTATGTACAGTATACTACATTACCCAATTTTACTATACTGCAACTATATATACAAGTGCGTGTGTATGTGTGGGAGGAGGAGGGGGCTTTCAATGAACATTTTCTGTAATAAATGTTATGTCTGGAAAATGTCCTATGATTATGGACCTGGACCCAGAATCATGAAACAGACGTAGACTTTTAAAAGACAAATTTTTAATCGCCCGAAAAATGTTCATTAATTATTGAACAAATCTCTAATTTTGCAGAGAACAACATTTTGTAAAGCAATATTTATCTAATTCATTCATTTTATCTTTAAAAGAAATCATATCCATGAATATTTAATCAGAACCCATTTCAAAACATGGATTTCGATCGGCGAAACATAAATGCCCGACTGTTGAAAGAATCGAAAAAACTGAGTATGCACTGCCTAAATCTTCCAAACCGGAAATTATTTCAGACGATTCGATGCAAATCACATGACGAGGAGGCGCACAGCAATTTTACAAGGATAGGATGTTTTAGATCTTGTGACACTGCTGAAGTCGTCAATGATAATGCCAGGCCCGGAAGAAGATGGAGTTCGGAGCACGGGGGTCAGGTTGACGGTAAGCATAGGCGGAAAGGAAGGGGATGCAAACGGCTGTGCAAGACCCAGTGGCGGATCTATCAAGTTCAGACATTCTTAATCTTATGGCTTGCACTCTAAAATAATATCCTATTTTTGGTCATTCAAATGATACTGTCTGCTGAAAATTGCACAGTAGTATCAAATGATCCAATGTGATGGAATATAGTCATTTCCAGGGTTTGGGGTGTTCAACATAAACTGATTTAAAATAATTGGTATGATCTTAGTGGACTGCCGAAATATACAAATATGTCCTAACCTTATCTAGGTTAACAATAATCAAATGGTAAAATCAATTAAACAATCGGAGGCAAGCAAAAATAAATTATCTGGTAGACCTAACTTAATACTAATACGAAAGCCCAGTCGCCCTCGGACTACCGCATATACTGTAGGATGCCTTATTCAGGATGGACAGTATATGTGATAGCCCTTCAACCACTACACTCACTGTAGGATGCCTTATTCAGGACGGACAATGAGTATAGCGGCCTGGACGGACTGGTCTGCCAATGCAGACAAATGAACTGTTATGGCTAGCCTCTTTGCTTGAGGTTAACCTCTTCGTGGCAGGCCTTATAACTGGTTTGGCAAACCTCAAATGGCCTTCCAAATTTCCTCTCAAACTGAGCGAACACAGGCGAGGAATTAATAACCGCAAACTTTATTTACTACAGTCTTAGAACACTGTCAATCGTCTTCTCTCCTTGGCTGCATCCGAATAACAACAACAGATGACTGCAGGGTCTCAGTATATATACCTTATGAAAGTCACGTGATGTCAACGAAAATAAATGAATGCTTTGAAATCTACTCATTAGTATTAATCAACCATATTTGATGAAATAACATTTATGATGATAAAATTTTGAAATATGTGGCCCCAGGGTCTGTGGTTCCTGTGGGGTGGGGTGCACAATTGCATGGTTTAGAATGGAAGTGCATTTTTCTCTTAGTTACTCTGATCTACTTATGGGTGTTAAGTGACTATCTAGTAAGCATTGCTAAGTGTATAATTATGATAAGCAATAGTGCCTCTTTCAAAATCGTGAATTTCATGGCCTCTGGTTTAAAACACGAACCAAATTCAATTGTTGGAAAGTTGTTACATGATACTCAGGTGACCTATAAGGCCCGTGGGCCTCTTGTTTTGATATAGGATGATTTTCAAGTAAACTTCAGAATCTCCTACTGAATGGACAAGAAGAAATGTTCATCTAGAGCCCTGCATTGCTAATTTACAGCCAAATCCTTCCTACACTAGTCTTCATAATTAATGTTGAAGGTAGAAATGTACCATAAAACAAAAACAGGAAGCCTTAGGGCAATGGCTTATGTTGTAAATGTCAACGAGTATGAATTATATTTTGTTAGACATGTATCATAAATAGTTCATTTAATATTTGTCCTATCAGGAATTTAGCATCTGTTTTATAATCTCAACTAAGCCAAAGACTCATTGACAATCAAAACTTAAATCAGAGGTGCACAAAAGCAACGTGCATTAAAGATTCTGTGAAAATCTCAGTATTTTTAGCTCACCTGAGCCGAAGGCTCAAGTGAGCTTTTCTGATCACATTTTGTCCGGCGTCCGTCTGTCTGTCTGTCCGTCTGTCTGTAAACTTTTTACATTTTCGACTTCTTCTCAAGAACCGCTGGGCCAATTTCAACCAAACTTGCCACAAAGTATCCTTGGGTGAAGGGGATTCAAGTTTGTTCAAATGAAGGGCCACGCCCTCATTCAAGGGGAGATAATTGGGAATTAATGAAAATTTGGTAGCATCTTTTAAAAATCTTCTTCTCAAGAACCACAGTGCCAGGAAAGATGAAACTTATGGGGAAACATCCTCAGGTAGTGTAGATTCAAGTTTGTTCAAATCATGACCCCCGGGGGTAGGGCGGGGCCAAAATGGCCGACCAAAGTTTTACATAAAAATATATAGGTAATTTCTTTAAAAATCTTCTTCTCAAGAACGGCAAGGCCATAATTGATCATATTTATATGGAAGCATCCTCAGGTAGTGTAGATTCAAGTTTGTTCAAATCATGACCCCCAGGGGTAGGGTGGGGCCAAAATGGCCGACCAAAGTTTTACTTAAAAATATATAGGAAATTTCTTTAAAAATCTTCTCCTCAAGAACAACAAAGCCAAAATTGATCATATTTATATGGAAGCATCCTCAGGTAGTGTAGATTCAAGTTTGTTCAAATCATGACCCCCGGGGGTAGGGCGGGGCCAAAATGGCCGACCTAAGTTTTACACAGAAATATATAGGAAAATTCTTTAAAAATCTTTTCCTCAAGAATAGCAAGGCCATAATTGATCATATTTATATGGAAGTATCCTCAGGTAGTGTAGATTCAAGTTTGTTCAAATCATGACCCCCAGGGATAGGGTGGGGCCAAAATGGCCTACCAAAGTTTTAGATACTGATAGAAATATATAAGAAATTTCTTTAAAAATTTTCTCCTCAAGAACAACAAAGCCATAATTGATCAAATTTATATGGAAGCATCCTCAGGAAGTGTAGATTCAAGTTTGTTCAAATCATGACCCCCAGGGGTAGGGCGGGGCCAAAATGGCCGACCAAAGTTTTACATAGAAATATATAGGAAAATTCTTTAAAAAATCTTCTTCTCAAGAACAACAAAGCCATAATTGCTCATATTTATATGGAAGCATCCTCGGGTAGTGTAGATTCAAGTTTGTTCAAATCATGACCCCCAGGGGTAGGGTGGGGCCAAAATGGCCGACCAAAGTTTTACATAAAAATATATAGGAAATTTCTTTAAAAATCTTCTCCTCAAGAACAACAAAGCCATAATTGATCATATTTATATGGAAGCATCCTCAGGTAGTGTAGATTCAAGTTTGTTCAAATCATGACCCCTGGGGGTAGGGCGGGGCCAAAATGGCCGACCAAAGTTTTACAAAGAAATATGTAGGAAATTTCTTTAAAAATCTTCTCAAGAACAGCAAGGCCATTATTGATCATATTTATATGGAAGCATCCTCAGGTAGTGTAGATTCAAGTTTGTTCAAATCATGACCCCCAGGGGTAGGGTGGGGCCAAAATGGCCGATCAAAGTTTTACAAAGAAATATGTAGGAAAATTCTTTAAAAATCTTCTTCTCAAGAATAGCAAGGCCATTATTGATCATATTTATATGGAAGCATCCTCAGGTAGTGTAGATTCAAGTTTGTTCAAATCATGACCCCCAGGGGTAGGGTCAGGGGCCAAAATAGCCGACCAAAGTTTTACATAGAAATATATAGGAAAATTCTTTAAAAATCTTCTTCTCAAGAATAGCAAGGCCATAATTGATCATATTTATATGGAAGCATCCTCAGGTAGTGTAGATTCAAGTTTGTTCAAATCATGACCCCCAGGGATAGGGTGGGGCCAAAATGGCCGACCAAAGTTTTAGATACTGATAGAAATATATAGGAAATTTCTTTAAAAATTTTCTCCTCAAGAACAACAAAGCCATAATTGATCAAATTTATATGGAAGCATCCTCAGGTAGTGTAGATTCAAGTTTGTTCAAATCATGACTCCCAGGGGTAGGGTGGGGCCAAAATGGCCGACCAAAGTTTTACATAGAAATATATAGGAAAATTCTTTAAAAATCTTCTCCTCAAGAATAGCAAAGCCATAATTGATCATATTTATATGGAAGCATCCTCAGGTAGTGTAGATTCAAGTTTGTTCAAATTATGACCCCCAGGGGTAGGGAGGGGTCAAAACGGCCGACCAAAGTTTTACATAGAAATGTATAGGAAAATTCTTTAAAAATCTTCTCAAGAATAGCAAAGCCAGGATTGGTCATGGGACTACTTTTGGATTTATGCTTTTCAAGTATAAACCAATTCTGCTTTTTCCTAGCCACAGTGCTCAGGTGAGCGATGTGGCCCATGGGCCTCTTGTTTATTATGTGGTAAAAGAGAAGTTATGAATATGAGAAAGGTATCCCAGTATTATAGAACATTTAGAAAGAAGGCAGCTTAGAGTGTCCATATTTTGATATGGAAAACTCCAAATATGTTTCAGATTGAAATGAAAAAGGAGGTGCAGAGTTTTGTGTTAAACTGTCAATTTTCAGAATACTATGCAGAGCTTATATCTGTCTTATGAAAAATAGATTAGAAGTTAATTGTCTTCATACAGACATGACGATGGCCCTGATTGATTCAGCCAATGACAGGACTGAGGAGGGACAAGAACAGATTTCCCAGGCGCTGTTTGACCTCGGAAAACACAAACCTGCCCTGGTTCTCAGCTGCTGCTACTCGTACCTGAAAAAACACACCAAGGTATGGCTACATACATGTAGTGTTTTATGCTGCTGATTTTGAAAGATGTAAATCAAGATGCCTATGATGACCACTGCAATAAACAATATAAATCAGCTGCTATAATTAAAGACAAAGTTTGTTGAAGCAGGTCTATTTCCAGGTAACTGTAAGTCCTTATTAAAACCATCGTAGCAAGTCACAGGTTTTGTGTCCACTCAAACCCGGTTTGTGGAAATAGAACAGACACAAAACCTGTGGATTGAGAGACGATGCATTTCCACAGGATGATGTCTGTCCCACATAGCTCTTTCACCACAACATTTCAAATCAAATTTTACTATTTCCACATGGAAGTAGAATGGACACAAAACCTGTGTCTTTTTATGATGAATTAAATCAAAATTTCATGGATATTGATCTCAGACTGTATGCTAACGAGAAAAAAATTTGTGAGGTCTGCTAGATAACAATTGTCAAGGTGAGCTTTGTAATCTTTGATTACCTATGTTTTACTTTATGTCTAAAATGAAAAGCTTTCATGCAGAATCTATTTGTCTTTCTATTGCTACACCCCTTCTTTTTTTTCTTATAGCTTGCTTAATAACACTACACCCCCATATTAATTTTTTATAGCTTGCTCAAGAACACCGAGTGATCTTGCTACAATGTATGGAGAGGATCGTAAAAGAAACTCTGGATCAGATAGACACGGGACTCGCCACTGATCTCATTAAACTCGGGGCCCAGGAAATGACATGCTCAAAGGTTTGTATCATATAGACACGGGACCCGCCACTGATCTCATTAAACTCGGGGCCCAGGAAATGACATGCTCAAAGGTTTGTATCATATAGACACGGGACTCGCCACGGATCTCATCAACCTTGGGGCCCTGGAAATGACGTGCTCAAAGGTTTGTCTCAGTTAAACAGGGTTAATGAAAACTAAGATAAAGTAACAAAAAATTAATGATTAACATCGCAATTAAGGCTCTTAGCCATCAGATATATGCCATTTTGTTCTGCTGATATTAGTCTATATAGGGACCTGTGGGAGGTAGACACTGAAGGGTGTGTGTAAGGCTCTTTTGAAAGTGGAGAGGGACAAGAGTACCTCTGTGCCACACTAAACATTTCTTATATTTACATTTTACACATTTAAAAGACATTTATACACATTTATGCAATTTCACCTTTAAATTAGCAGATTTACATGTTTAAAAGTACATTTTTATTAATGTCTCTGTAGGCATATTTTATAAAGTGCGCTAGCGTGCTTCATGAACAATATGCCTACGTGCAAGCCTGTGTATTTACACACCAATAATTCACACTAAACTTAGAAACATTCCTTATATTATTTTATATTTTACATGACTAAAAGCACCAACTGCCCTATATTGTTATATTTTTACTAACGTCTCTGTAGCCTTATTGTGAGATCACGTTAGCACAAGTTGCTCAGTGTATATTTCTTCGCGCGAGTATACATGAAAATGGTATTAAATCCATTTCACAGTTGGCTTACTTAAAAAACCCCACAGCAAATATAAATTTATTAAAATGGAATTCAAATCAATTTCACAGATCAGGCTTAATTAGTAGAGAAACACAGCAAATGTACTTGGTAGATGAAAATGAGAATTTAATTGGCAAACAATTGACAACATCCCACATCCAATTTACTGCATGTAATTACAAGTGTTTATTTTCTAGAACAAAAAAATTAGTCAGACAGGGATTGTCCTTTCTGGTCTTCCCCCTCTGTGTGGACTAGCTCAAATTACACTGAATTTTGTTCGCAAATGTGCTGACTTCGAAAAACAAACAGGCGGACAAAGAAAATACAAGATGTCCATTGCTAAAAAAGATATACAGTTAATTCTCAATAAACCGCCACCTTTTGTTATTTAGAAATCATGGTGGTATAACGAATTTGGCGATGAATTGAATTTCCCATCTTATAGAAAACAAGAAGTAGAGTTACCATTCTTAGAAATACCATTTAGCGTTTCTATTCTTATTATTATATGTACATGTATATAAAAACATATTTCTGATTGAAAATACTTCAAGTATTTTTTTTTTTTAATGTACAATTTCGCTGAAACAAAATGTGCAGTTATGAAATAAAGATGCATGTATATCTGCGCGTCTGATATTGAAAAAAAAAACATGCTAAGTCGATCGCCGTGATATATTGCCAATAGTACGTAAAAATGAATTCTTGAATAAATTATTGTTTATGGCATCATTGTTAATGAAACGTCCACAATTTATACCGTATAAGTATTTTTTCAGCAAACTTTGCAGAAAACAAAATTATTATAACAGTTCATGTTGACATTATTGTTTATTTGATTCTTGTTTAATTACTTAATTGCATGTACCTCGTCTGCCTTTGCATGCGTTACAACAGGGATAGCATCAACCAATTAGCTGCGCTTCACTGACCCCATGCACCTGTGGTGGTATATCGAGATAATTGACACTTTAAAATAGACGTTTATTGTGAAAACAGGGTGGCGGATGGCGGTATGCGAATTTGGGGTCATAAAGAGAATTTTATATAGCAGGAAAAACGTTCCTGGGAAATCATGGCGGTATTGCAAAAATGGCGA